ATAGGAGGGCCAAGAGACTTCGATTCAAATCCCACCTCTCAAGTGTCATTTTTAAAGACATTTAACCTCCCTGAACCTCAGTTTTCTCCAAGGTAAAAAGGTTAGACTAGGTGGCCTCTCAAATCTCTTTCCAACTCCTGACCTAGGATTATATGGTCAGTCCTCAGCAACATCCTTTAAAGAGCATATTTGTCAGCCACAATACTACATAACCTATGCCCTCAGCCTCTCAACCCCTTTGGAGTATGTGTTTGCAACAAGTAAGGTCACTCTGAAACAGGGTTACCAATTATTTTAAGATGAAATGGAATCCATTAATAATGCCTCTGGCCACACAAATTAGACCAACCTCAAATAATTCCCCAAGTATTCTTCACCAGCTTTCTGAAAGTCTAACTAACTCAGGGATTTAATCAGTGGGAAAGAACTGGCATTTCTGCTGGTGGGGAAACTCTGCTGGGAATGCAAATCCTGGCCCTGCTGACTGTAGCACTGGTCCGGAATGCTATTAAATATAAGATCAGTGATTTTAAAGGAAACCAGGGATTAGAAAGAATTTGTTATGGATTTAAAGCCAACACTTTAATTTTGAATCAAACTATGTAGGTGCCAAATAAAGAACAAAAGGTTTACTGTATTTGATATAATATATTCGATCTCATTAAAGAGGCTTTCCTGCTGTCCACTATTTGAAATGTACAAGTTATCTTCCTAAATGTCTGGAAGTAAATCTAATCTGAAAGCTGCAATGCTCTGTACAACCACAAAAGAATTATTGCTAAAAATATTGGTTTACTCCATCTAATCATTTGAATTCTAAAGTTGGAAGGGGCTCAGAGCGCCTCTAACTACTTTTTTTTTTTAATAGATAAGGCCAAGACACTTAGGTCTAGTGGAAAACACACTGGCCTAGAGGGTGTCAGCCTCATTTGTAAAATGAAACAGTTGGATTAAATGAACTTAATGCTTTCTTCCAGTTCTAACATTCTATAATTAACTGACTTGCGAGGATTACAGAATCATAGATGTAGAAATGGAAGGGCCCTAGGAGGCCATTTAACCCTATAATTTTACAAAGCAGGTCAAAAAACTGAGGAAGTTTTTTAAAAACTGAGTGATTTGCCCAGAGTCATACAGAAAGTTAGAGCAAAGGTGAGATTTGAACCCAGGATCTTTGACTCCAAAGCCAAAGCTCTTTCTACTGTTATGCAGTTTATTTCCTTTTATTATTTTCCTATTCATTGCTTTGATGTAAGTTATTATTGTTGTTGAGTCATTTTTCAGTTGTGTCTGATTCTTCGTGACTACATTTGGGGTTTTCTTGGCAAAGATACTGGATTGGTTTGTCATTTTCTTCTCCAGCTCATTTTACAGATGAGGAAACTGAGGTAAACAGGGTGAAGTGACTTGTCCAGGGACACACAACTAAGCGTCTGAGGCCAGATTTGAACTCATGAAAATGAGTCTTCCTGACTCCAGGACCAGCACTATCCACTGTGTCACCTAGCTGCCACTGCTTTAGTCTAAATTACTACCATAATATGTTTAGATTGGAAGAGCAGACATGTTTTCTTTTGGGAATTATCAACCTGAGAAATCCATGCTATTAGACAATAACAATATTGATGACAACGATGATAATAACTGCTGACTTTACATAGTGATTTGTTTTGTAAAACACTTTACATACATTATCACATTTGGTTCTTACAACAGCTTTCTAAGGCAGAAATTCTCAAATTTTCTGGACTAAGCCCCCCTTGACACTCCTTTTTTTTGTTTTGTTTTGGTTTTGTTTTGTTTTTTTTGTGTTAGGCAATTGGGGTTAAGTGACTTGCCCTGGGTCACACCGCTAGTAAGTGTCAAGTGTTTGGTCTGAGCCCCCTTGACACTCTTGAAAATTATTAAAGACAAAAAAGAACTTTTGTTAATGTGGGTTATATCTATTGATATTTACCATATTAGATACTAAAAATAACAAACTTTTAAAAAAATTTTTGTCTATTTAAAAATAATAGACCCATTACATGTTAACTTATTTTTATGAAATATATATTTCCCAAAAAAAAGTTAGTGAGAAGAGGCATTTTTTTTTGTTTTTTTTTGTTTTGCAAATCTCTTTACTATCTGGCTTAATAGAAGAGAGCTGAGATTCTCATATCTGCTTCTGCATTCAATCTGTTGTGATATGTTGTTTTGGTTGAAGTATATGAAGAAAATCCAAACACACCAAGATATGTAGATGGAAAAAAAAGATTATTTTACTAGGTAAATAACATCTTAGCATTTTTATGAAACCAGTTTTGACCTTGGAGACCCCCTGAAAAGATCTCAGGGATGCCTACAGAGTGGTTTGCCGATAAATATTTAACAACTAGTTCTCACTGAGGAGAAAATTTCTAAGTGACATACTTTAAAGTTTAATCTGCATCATCAACATTTTCTCCACCACTTTCTTAAATTTAAACAATCAACAAAACAATAAATCAAGCCCTGAATTGTACCATTTCACACTGAAACTTTGATGTTACAGCTGGCTCCAGAATATTCTTGCCCTGCCCCCCCCCCATCCTGGAATCTTTGGACAACACTTTGAGAACCACAGCTTTAAGACAAATACTAGTTATTTTCTACATTTTAAAGGAAAAAAAAAACCCAAAACACCTATGGCTCAGAGAGGTTAAGTGACTTGCCCAGGGTCACACAACTCACAAATGTTTGAGGCAGAATTCAAACCTAGGTTTCCTGACTCAAAGTCCAGCACCTTAGCACTAGGCCAGGATGTATTGCCACATATGTTCTACATGTAGATGAATCACAGTTTCAGATGATTTATCCTGAAACAACCTGAAAGATCAAGGTTCTCAAAGAAAAAAAAACATACTAGTTTTTTTTTTTTAAATTTCTGCCATATTAGCCAACCCAAGCTGTGGGTGCCCATAGCTGTCTGTTTCAGGACTCTCTAACATACCTCTTGCTGCTATCTCCCTGGTCTGAAAACCAGCCTGATGAAACATAATCAGTGTTTAGCAGCTGCAATGGTGCTAAAATTCTGTGACCTTTGACTGCAAAACAGTTTGACGTCAACAGCCAAATACGCACCCTAGTGTTTTATCAGAACTGTGATAAGAAGAGATTTCCAAGAAGGAATAGCACAACACCACAATAAAAAAATTTTTTTTTAAAAATTAACATCATCATATATTAAATACCAAACATGTTCCAGGACTGGGCACTGTACCAAGGAAAAACTTGCTGATAAGCAGAACTCCTTTTTAAAAATAAGAACCATTTGTATTTGCAAAATAACTTTAGTGCTAAGTGAAAACATCCTACAGCATTCTTACTGGAAAAACATAAAGGACAAGGACAACTTGAGAGCCCCTTCTAATAGTCTGGGAATAACTAGATTTACAATCAGTTTAGTTGATAGTTACCTTAAACTGGCTTTGACCCTGTATGACCTACCTCTACACTTTTGTAAGGGAACTACCTCCTTTTCAAGAAGTGTTAATTTTCATTTCTTACTAGTACATGCCTTATGGTGTCACATTGGTTGATAAGGTAATTTATTTTGCTAAATTGCTTTTTAAAAAATTCTTCGTGGCCTCCCTATAAGGAAAATAGGGAAGTTTATAGTAGGAAATTAATATGATGTAAAAATGAAAGATATGAATAAAGTTTTTTTTAAAACTATGTGCATCTATAATGCTTTATGTGGACATTTCTTTCTCATGCTGGGGAATAAAGTACATGCTGTAACCATATATACTCTCAGCCCCTAACCATACCAAATCCAATATATCAAGAGAAGGGGGAAACTGTTTTTTTTTTTCTTCTCTTTTTATCAGTTAAGGCCATATATGAATATCAGCTTCATTTATCTCTTTTTTTTCCTTGAAGAGACCAATATAAAACGTTCAACTCATATTTTAAATTTAAGAATACAGAGTACTATGCAGTTTAAGTGCGATGTACTTTTCTACAGAATGTACCTCACTGAGAGGTAGATTAGGGGTTGGAATGCAGGAGAACTTGGGTTCAAATCTTACCTCTGATACTTTCTGATTAACTCTGGGCAAGTCACTTAATCTCTCTGGACCTCAGTTTCCTCACCTGTAAAGTGAAAAGGTTGGACTAGAGAGCCTCTGAGATCTCTTTCATTTATGTGCCTGAGATTATAATCAGTTAAGGATAATGACTTCATTCTGAGTAAATAGCATTTAATTCCCTAGCTCTATTCCAAGCACAGCTCAGATGCCACCTCCTCTAGCAAGCCTGTCCTGATTTCCTCCTCAGTTCTTAATGTTCTTCGTACCCCGACACACTTTGTATCGATGCGAAGGTTTCATCTCCTCCAGGACAATGAAAGCTCCGAGGGGCTGCTACTGTTTCTTTTCTGTCTTTGGATCCCAAAGTGCCTGGCACATAGTGGGTGCTCAATAAATTGTAACTGCATTTAATACTGTTGGCTTTGGTGCATTTTAAATACTGTTCTGTGGCTCATGAGAAATGTCCTTGTGTAGGGGGAGCCCGAGTCGGATTCCAAAGGAAGACCAGGTAGCTTGGGTTCATACCATCATGGATTTAAAGCTGAAAAGGACCTCGGGGTCCTTGAGGACCACCTTCTCATTTAACAGAGGAGGAAACTGAGCCTCAGCGGCTAACCGACCTGTCTAAGATCACATGGGTCAGAAGTGTCCACGTTGGGATTTGAACCTGGGTTCATCCACCTTTCCGTTGCTAACTGAGTAAGTATCAGTGAATGATCCAGAACGCCACCTCCCCCCTCCCTCTCCCCAAAGCCGTGGCCCTGTAGCACAGGCTGGGGTGGGGAGAGAGGAGGGCTGGGAGGGAGAGTCAGTCCCATAGCTTTACCACCAAGCACCGACACCACTGCCTCGCGGCCGGCGGACACTGGGCCTGCCCCTTTCACCCACCGCCTCCTCCGGTGGGCAGAAGCAAAAGACTTAGCATTTATGCACCGGAACAATACTCACCAGCCTGAGGCAGCCGTACGCACGTTGCTGAACAGGAAGTACAACCACCATCTTTGTTAAGGGAAAACAGCCTCCAACCGGAAGTCGTGGCACCATCTTGGGTTTGAAGGGAAAGGCCGTGGCAGCCATTTTGGTTAAGGGCAATTGCTTTGGAAGTTCCAGCCGGGTAGTGGAGGGCAAGGCACCAGGGATGTGAGTGGTTTCCCTGAAGCTGTTGTTTAAAGGCAGGTCAGGGCAGTTCTGAGGTAAATTGTGAGAAAACCAGAATTAAATGAAAATGAAAAAAATGGCAAAACTCAGAAGAGATAGCGAGAAATTAACAGTGTAAAATAATGTTAGGTTTCCGGATCACTTAATCACTTTCAAAGCATTTTCATGTAGATGAGCTCACTTTTTAAAGGCTAGTTCTCTAGTGTAAAAAACATCCAGGAGCCATGAGACAGAAAACATTTTCTGCATCAAGAAATTCTGAAATGCCAAAATGGCACTGGACACTAGCCTTCTTCTGCAGTCCAAAGGAGGTAATAAACATGCTTTGTATCTGGATATTATGGTCCTAGAAAGAATACAATATCGAGTTATCAGGAATTTATAGATTAGTTTACAATAGTTTATTGAATTAGTTACCAAATGCTAGCTGAGGGCAGATTTTGATGAGAAAGTAGGTGGAGAGACTATAAAGTTATTAATAACATAGGTTTGTTTAGAAAGCAGATCACATGTATGTACTCTAATTAAAATGAATATTAAGAGCTGCCTTGACCAAAGTTACAAAAGAGTAACATGCAGCTTGAGACAAGTCTGTGGAAAGGAACCCACTTACTTTGCTTTGGAGGAGCCAGAAGGAGAGAAAAATTTTGTTCAATTCTGATTGTGTTCCCAGTATACAAAAGGATAAGACGTCATTGGTATGAGTTCCCTTTATTAATTTGGGTTGGCAATTTCTGTGCAATTTATAGTTGTGGGCTGATGCTTAAAGCACTGAGAGATTAAATAATTTGCCCAGTAGGAGTCAGTATGCCAAAGGCAGGGATTGAACCCCGGTCTTCCTGGCTTTCTTGGTAGATTGCTGTCCGCTGTATTACTGTTTCTCCAAGTAACCTGAGAGCCTTTCACAACATCTCTGAGGTCAAAACTATTTTCATAACAATACTAAGGCATTATTTCCTATTAAAATACTTCTTTTTCTAACTAATCTGTATGAGGATGGGTATTCTCCATGTACTTGAGAAAGGGCGGAGAAATTATAATGGCATTAATGACATGGGTTTGTGTAGAGAGCAGTTCATGTATACACATCTAGCTGTCTTCTCTTAAGCAATACATTAAAGATATTTGCAAAAATATGTAAAACTGCTACTCTTGTCACTTTATTTTAGAAAATATAGTTACTTTTTATTTAAAATATTATTATGGGTTTGTTACTGTTACTTTTAAAACAGATTAATAAATATTTTAAATGTATCCATTTTAGTTTGCAATATGGTAAATGCTGATAGATATAACCCACATAAACAAAAGCTCTTTGGGGTCCTCAATAATTTTTAAGAGTATAAAGGGATCCCTTTACACTGAGACCAATAAGTTTGAAAACCATTACATTGCACTATGCTGTCTCTCATTTAAAATATATACAAAACAAATATAAGGTAATTCAGCGAGAGGAGAGGAGGGAAGCCTGGAGGATCAAGAAAGATAATGTAGGAGGTTGCTGTTGTTGATCCTTCATTTTTGGAGAGGACCAATGACATCACAGGTGATGTCTTGACTTGCACATGAATTGGATTTAAGTGATGGAGAGTTTGGGAAAGTCATCAGCCTCTTTCTTCCTGAGTCCTTGAAGTCTGGTGGCAGGACAAAAGTCAAGATGCCTGGCAATGGCCTGGTATGCAGGGAAGAAGTACTGCCTCCGTTTCCCTTTTGTTCAACTTCAATTGTTAGGAAGTTTGTATTGACATTAAGCCAAAATTTAACATTCTTCACCACCCATTGCTTCTAGTTCTGTCCTCTGGGGTCAAGCTCACAAATCTATTTCCTCCTCTTTTAATACTTGAGAATAGCTACTATGTACTCCCATAAGTCTTCTCTTCTTCTAGCTAAACATCCCCAATTTCTACAACAGATTCTCATATGGAATGAACTCATATGGCATAAATCCTGACTCCCTTTCCCATTTGTACTACCTACTTCAAAACCAAGATGCATGTAGAATCAACTCTTGATTATCCTTGAAGAGGTTTTCATTCTAATATATAATACATTATATGATGAAAGATTTCTGAATCCTTAGTAGCAGCCTTCCCACTGCCATGCAGAGTTGCTCCTCCCACTCCTATTAATTAGCTTTTGTTCAAAGAATGAAATACATATACATACATATGAATGTATATAAATCATATATATGATAAAGAGAAAGGGAAATCTGTTCCTTCCCCCTACCCTGGAAGTGAAAGTGAATATATTCCAAAGTCAATTGTAACTGACTTGGCCAGTTTCTTTGCTTTCTTGAATTATACAGATTACTGCTTAATTCCATTGGCAACAATTATAAAATGACTACATAAAATTATATATGCATATATAAAACATATGTAAATATATGTATGTATGCATGCATGCATGCATGTATGTATACACAGACAATAGAGAGAAAAGGAAAACTGATGACCACTTTCCCCCTCCTCCCCCCAAAAAAATCATGGTAATTGATTTGGGGATTTCTTTGCTATCAAATTATCTAGGCTTCTTGTTCCTTTCTATTAGCTATAATTATAAAATGACTTACAAAATGTGATCTCAAAATGATAAACAACATTATTTTGAAAAACACAGTATTTTGGTATTCAGTTTTATTTTTAGAACATTAAAATCAGCAACCTTAGCCACATTTCTTTTATAGGAGTCATGTTAGGTAAAAGAAGTATTTCAGTGACTTTGAATTCTTTGTTTTCCTAATGAGGACAGTATTTTCCTTATCTCCTGCTTTGTTATTTGGACCCTTGATCAAATTTCTCTTCCTGGTGCTGGGTAACTTTAAGCAAGAGTAAAAATAAAAATAGCTAAATACATATAAGGGTCAAGTAATTTATTTATTTTCCAGATTTCTTTTTTTTCTAGTAAGCAGTGTGACAAAGCAACTTAAGAATGCACCAAATGAAATGTAATGCCATATGCCTCCTGTATTTATTGTTGTCGGATCACACTTAGAGTATTAGGTTCACTTCTGAGCATCATATTTAAATTGACAGACTGAAATATTGCCAGACCATGGCGATTTGGAAAAGGGACTTGAAAATGGGTTGTAAAAGGAATAATAGTTAAAGGAACTAAGATGGTTTAGCATGAATAAGAGACTCCAGAAGACAAAAGGTTGATATGATAGATGCCTTCCCATACTTGAAATTTTCTTGTCATTTTTCTATGTGACTCCAAAGGGAAACACCAAGACCAACTGATAAAAGTGATAGGGAGTCAGCTTTAGTCTTTTTTCTGCATGGTTGATCATTATCTTGATGTTCTCTGCCTTGGCTTCTGTAACATTGTTCCTTCCTATTTATACTTTTACCTGTCTGTTGGTTCCTTTTGAATCTTCTTTAATAGCTGTTCTTTCACCTTCTGCCCCCTAAATGTGAGTATCCTTCAGTGCCTTCTCTATGTTCTCTGTCTTGGCAACCTACTCTCATGGTTTTAATTAATATCTCTCTGTAGATGACTACCAAATTTATATATTCAGCCCCACCTGTACCATGAGCTCTCATTCTACATTTACAACAGTCTGATGGATATCTCTGCCTAGTTATCCTGTCAGCTTATCTTATCTTTTCCCCAAATAATCTTCTCCTCCCAAGTTCCCTGTTTATGTTGATGGCATCACTCATGTTTAAAACATTACTCATTTTGACTTTCATTTTTTTTCTCACCCTTTACCTCAAATTAAATCATGCAACATCAGAATTGGAGGAGACCTCATAGACCAGGGATTCTTAACCTAGGGTATGTAAACTTGTAACATTTTTGTTTTTTAAAAAAAAATTTTGATAACTGCATTTCAATATGATTGGCTTCCTTTGTAATGCTGTATATTTTATTTTTTTGCATTTTAAAACATTATTCTGAGAAGGTGTCTATAGGCTTTATAAAATGGCCAAAAGGGTCCATGATACATTAAAAAGATTAAGAATACCTACCACAGACTACCAATCAATCAATCAATTAATTAATCAACAAGCATTTATCAATATGTTAGGTAAGGTGCTAGGCACTGGGATATAAAAACAAAAATTAGAAGCCCCTTGTCCTCAAAGAACTTACATTGTACTTGGGGGAATAACACATATTTACAAATTTAAAAAATACAGGTAATATACAAAATAAACACAGAGTGATTTGGGAGGAGGAAACAACTAGGAGTATGAGGGAAGATCTCTTGGAGAAGGTAAAACTTGAGCTGAGCCTGGATGAAAGTAAGGGATTTCATTAGACTGCGGTGAGGAGAGTGGGAGTGAATATTCCAGGAATAAGAGAACATTCCAAGTACGCTGTACAAAGTCATAGAGACAGGAGATGGAATGTTGTATATAGGAAGTATCAAATAGGCCAGTTTGGTTAAAATTTTGAGTGCATATCAAGCAGGCAACTGAAGATATAAGACTGGAGTCCAAGAGAGACATGAGGGCTAGATATACAAATTTTAAAGTCGTCTACATGGAGATCACAATTCATGGGAGCTAATAAGATCATCTAAGTAGAATGAAAATAGAGAAAAGAGGCGAGCTCACGGCAGAACCTTGTGGTATGCTTACACGTAAGGGCTATTTGGTTCAACTGATACAGGGCAGCTATGTGGCACTGGGCCTGGAATCAGGAAGACCCAAGTTCAAATCCAGCCTCACACACTTACTAGGTATGTGATCCTGGGCAAGTCATTTAACCTCTGTGCCTCAATTTCCTCAATTTTAAATGAGAATAATTATAGCATCTACCTCCCAGGGTTATTGTGAAGATTAAATGAGATGATATTTGGAAAGTGTTTAGGATAATGCCAGACACATAGTAGGCACTATATAAATGCTTATTCCCTTTCTCATCCCAACCAATATCTGACCAAGAATACCTTGGACAACATTCTCAGTAAGTGGTCATATTGACTATGTCCTGAAGATCTTTATCTCTACAACCTTTCTCACATCTCCTTCCTACTCCCACTATTACCACCTTGGTTAGTACCCTCATTACCTCTCATCTGGACTATTTTAGTCTCGGTTGGTCTTCCTGTCCATTGTTTTTCCTCTCTCTAATTTAGACATAATCCTTGTGTCAGAAACTTGCTCCTGACACCAGGGGCCCAAGGACATTTTGGAAACATCTTATTTGTGTAGTTCATTGCACCCATCCAGGTAGAACCTGGGAACTTTAATGTCTGCTACTCCCTGAAAAGTGATTCTAAACTGCCTATAGAGGCATTCAGGTTGATTCAGGTTCAAAATATAAAATAGTTAAATTTATATGGTAAAGGACCCATAGCTGAGCTGAAGGCAG